ACTAGTGGGCGTGAATGTCCCCCCGTGCTTCAACCATCCGCTTTTCTAGTATTTGGTTCACCATGAGTGGTTTGTTGGTTCACGGAATATGGAATATAATATCGGGATCACTTCTGGGATAAGCAGTCGACTCACAATTAGAAACGGATAAATGGCTTGCATCTAGCACTGTTACGCACTGTTTGGCAAGCCCTTATATTGACAGAAAATAGAGTAAAATAACGAAGGTAAGCGGACGGATAAGGGTGAAGTAGTGGTACGATAATAATATGAATGTTGATGATAATAATAATAAGGGAAGTGGTGGAGCCTCTAAAAGATGTAGGGTGCGTAAGGGAGGGGTGAAGCAAGGAAGTCAGCTCGCAGAATTAGATAAGGTAGGGGAACATGGCAGCCCAGCTCTTGTTCAGTCTGGTCTTGAACTGCACTACAGTCTGAACTGAGACTATCTTCGCTGGCAGTCTGTTCCATGCGTTAACCACTCTATGGGTTTGCTCGATTTCAATCCGTTGCTCCTGAGGGAAGGATTGTTATCTATGCTGAGTAGGGGGCTCCCGTGCTGGTGATTCCTTTCAAGAGCTTAAACGTCTCTATAACCTCAACCTTCTCATTTTTAGGGAGAAAAGTCCTAGTCTCTCCAGCCTCTGTATGTACATCAACCCTTGGAGACCCGGGAAAAATTTCGTGAAACTCCTTTGATTTCTTTCAAGCTAGTTCATTTCTCCAGCTTTAGTTTATTACGCAATTTAAATGACTTGTTTGCCTAGGTTTGATCATTCAACCCCATAGAACAACTGTTGCACTTCTGATATTTTCAGACGCGATCCCCTGAAAACCGTCTGAATAGGGGATGAGCTTCACATATGATGAGGTTAATTTTTTCATATATCAGTACCTGCAGGAATCTGGGTACGGTCATTCTGCTTACGTATTTGGCTTGGAGAGCCTAATAAGCCGATCGAACATCGATCGTTCGATGATACCGCCGGGCTCTTTGCTTAGCCTAATACAAAAAGGCCTGCAATACACCAAAGCGGAGATTAGTATAGGCGAATATGGAAGTGAACGCATGGTGGATTCATTATCACTCATTGATGCAGTGGTTCCGGACTTTATTGAACAGAGAAACAGTTCACTGCGACAGCAGTAGCAACATCAACATCAGAGTGCTTCACTTTCATCTTCAACACCAATTAAGTACTCTGGCGCCGTTGCTACATGCAATAAAGTATCCTCTCACCAGAGTGTTGGAGCGGCGCAGGCAGACGCTTAGCCTACTGTGACTCAGCATACTTCGAATGTACACTCGACTCCAGCCGAACCGTTAGTTATGCACAACATCCTCCATCATCATTCCCTGAATAATGATCATCCAACAGTGAAATCTGTGAACTCCAAGACCGAAGAAATCATATCCAATGCCCTTCCATCCCACCAAACACATGGATCTTACTCAGTGTCTGTGGGGAACGCACTTGCACAATTCAACATGAGTCCTGCAATTGCCCTCAGTATCTCTGTCTTGAATCAGTCCCGTGGAAATTCAGTTAATTGTTCTACTCCTGTTGTTTGCACTTCTACTGCCATGTCCACGGTTAGTCCTGTGACCACCACACATCCAACCATTATACACAATATGAATAAAAACCCCGCCCCACCCCACTCTGTTATCCCCGGACAACTCGCCACATCATGTCACGCCATCCGTTTTGCTCTCAAGCATCCAAACTAATGGTGAAAACCGCGGCACTGCAATGGTGAATTACTATCGAACAGGAAGCGATGCAATGGATGTCGATCGAGTACATCTCCCCGAAGTCAATCGAACATCTCCCGTACCCGGTCGGCAGATCCCTCCGGAACGAATCACCGTTTTGCGGGGCCATGATTCAGAAGCTTTTATTTGCGCATGGAATCCTCGCAGCGACATGCTAGCCTCAGGTTCTGGTGATTCGACTGCACGGATCTGGAATCTAGAAGAGCAGTTGACTAATCCTTTTCAAGTTCCGCATTTGGTTCTCACTCATTACGTCAACCGTGATGGTCAAACCTTTCTGAGTAACAAGGACGTAACATCTTTGGATTGGAATTCTGATGGAAGTTTTCTAGCAACTGGTTCCTACGACGGGTATGCGCGTGTATGGCACATTAATAACCGGATAGCGATGACCCTTGGCCAGCACAAAGGACCCATATTTGCACTGAAGTGGAATCGAAAAGGCAACTGCATTCTTACTGATGGAGTGGACAAGACGACCATCATCTGGGAGTCCCAAACTGGTCGCATCGCTCAGCAGTTTTTCTTCCACACAGCTCCAACTCTGGACGTGGACTAGCAGTCCCTGACGGGTTTCGCTTCCTGCTCTACAGACACGAACATTCATGTCTGCGAACTTGTCTTCGTATGTGTTCGAGTCTCGTTGGTCAATTAGAAGTTATTGAGTGCAGGTCTGTAACCTAGATGGAAATGTTTCTGCATTCCTATGCTATGCGTTTCCGCTGGCGTTCGTCCGTGTGACTTGAACATGCGAGCAAATCTTTACACACCTACAATTGCATCCATACACCAAATCTTTCATTCAGTGTCTGCTTTACCATGTGTACACGTTTTCCAGTGATATGTACACCATAACCCAGCCACGCATTACTCACCAACCCCGTTCTGCATTGCTCTAAGCAAGATGATCAGTTCGCACTACATTCAGCGCTCTGCCNACAAGGCGTGGTTTCACAGTATACACTCTCATCAGGCCCCAGCAGTTTTTAAAATAGCGTGTCGTGACAGATTCACGCAAAGCATTCTCGTGTTTTCTGGTGAATAATCATGTCTCTTAGCTTCCACCTTCCTTGTACACCATCGCGATACACACACGCATCCATTCACTCTTCACTTTTATGACATATTTGCTCAGGTTGTGATAGCAGCGTCACTCTCCATTTCGGGCTCTTGTTCATCGTTCTCTGTCAGCCTATAATTCTATCGTCAGACACCCAGTCAACTTCCTTCAATGTCGCTTCAGGCAGCATGTATGACCAAACCTTACCGATGTCTCTCTCTCCGTCACTGCATACTACTATGAAGGCGGTCACGTTTTTCCTACATTAGCACTGTGTATAAACCATTCCATTCTGCTATTCTTATCCTAGTGTGCATCTGTCATATGCACGTTGAAGAATATGA